GCCGCGCCGCGCCGCGCCTCAGCTGGGCCTGGAGGGCAAGGGCGGCCCCTCCGCGCACGGCCACGCCCCGCGCACCTCCCCTCCTGCACTCCCCACACGACCTCCTCCGACACGCGCACGTGCCCCTCCCCACAGACACCTCCACACCCCCAAACTACCACACACATGCCCCTATTCCCTCATGCACCCCTACATACACACCTCCACCCCAAAACCACTACATACACACACACCCTTTTCCCCATATCCACACCTCCACACCACTACACACGCATGCACCTCTATATATAGACCCCTACATGCACACCTCCATACCCCGAAACCACCACACACGCTACCTTTTCCCCATAGACACACCTCTGCACCCCAAACCACTACACACACACACCCTCCTTTTCCCCCACATACACCCCTCTACACATACCCCTACGTACACACCTCCATACCCCCAAACCACTACATACACATACCCCCCTTTTCCCCATATACACACCCCCAAGCCACTACACCCACACACTTCAATCAACACAGAAGTAGCTCACCGTCACCGGAGACCCCCGATATCCATGTCTGCAAAGACTTTCGTGCCCAGGTAGGTGGCTGCAGGCTCATACGGTGTTACGATAGAGCTGCGTGGTGGTGGGCCCACGTTACCCATCGTGTTACCCACGTTTCTCCTCTGAATGGTGGCTCTCCACCTCTAAGAGCAGCGTGTCCACAACCAGCCCTGCGTTGGGAGCACAGTCTGCAAGGACGCAGACCGTGTTCCCGACTTCCTGCCTTCAGTGCAAGGGCAGCAGATGCCCTGGGAAGTCAGGGCCTGTTTTCACCCAGGGGAAACATTAGCATTAGGTCTGGCACGTCACACATTAAATCCGTTGCAGGGGTGTAGGTTGTAGCCGTGTTGATCTAAGGACATAGGCAGACAAGGTTCTTGGGGTGAATCTCTTATCTTTTATTAAGTTAAGTTGGTCTAATAAAAGATACTGGATTCACCCCAAGAACCTTGTCACTAAATCTGTTTGGCACACGTTTCACGTGTGGATTGAGGGCTAGGCAACAGGAGGAAAAGGAAAACCAGATGCATGTTTTTAAAGCGCTTAGTAGATCAGCAAGTCCAGTCCTACTACAGAATCTCCTTTACAAATATATCGAGCTCCATCTTAAAACCAGTTACAATATTTACCCCCCGCTAATCCTTTCCATTCATTTTGCTTTAAGAGCTTTGGCAATGCCTACAAATAGGCATCGATAGTTGCCAAAGAGTACAGAAACAGGAAAGTGCTCAATAAGCCTTGTTACTAATTAGAGCCACCAACCTGCTCTCTCTTCAGAGGCAGCTCTGACCAGAATTATTTGGTAAATACAAAAGCAATTTAAATTCTGGATAAATATAATTTGGAAACAACATACTGTCATGGACTGAAAATCATATGGATTGTAATAAGCCATTTGTTTTATATTTATGATCTGTTTGACAGCTAACAAAAAAAAATACAACAGAGGGAAAATGAATACAGGTGTCAATCTATTTGAACTTTTGCCTCATTAAAATGTTTAACAGTTGTTTAAAATAGCTAGAACATTTACAATTTGGAAAGTTGAGTCTTGATTGCAGATGCAGTTTACACCGTATTCATATAATTGCAAAAACAAAGCTGTGGGAAGATTTAAGATATTAATATTGGGCCTTTTTATAATAAATGAAAGCACAATAAATGATTCACTGAAGGTTTCAAACAATGCCCTGTCCATTTCAAAGCTAAAAAACAGAAATTAATGATCCCATACTAATTGCTACCATTTTAACATGACAGTGCACATGAAGTACTACGTTAATGCCTCCCTTTAAAAACAAAAAGCCTTCACTTGTTCCCCGGTGCACACATGCTAAAAACTGTATAGGGTTTACAAATGAAGAAAGTGCTAGATACATCTTTTGAGTAATACTTTGTTTAAAAAAAAAGCAATATATTAAGAGCAGACAAAGTTCTTTGGGTAAATCCGATACATTTTATTAGACCAACTCAAAAAGTTGGAAATATTCTTACAAGAAGAATTTTTCCAACTATTTGAGTTGGTCTAATAAAAGATATCAAATTCACCCAAAGAATCTCGTCTGCCTATGTCCTTAGACCAACAGGGCTACAACCTACACCCGTGATATATTAAGGGCGTCATTTAAGATACCATATAAATACATTAAAAAGGAACTGTTTGCGAGGCCCAAATCACAAACGTTTCCTCGTGTAGGTATGGCAATCCTGCTGAAATTAATCCGATTCACTTCCATAAATAAGGAACACTTATAGAATAGTTCATAGGATCAGGCCCTACCAGCATAACTATAAACAAACCAGGGTCGTTAATACACATATCATTTACATTCTCCGAAGCACTGCATAAGTAATTAGACTTTCCCTTAGATTTCATACAATTAATTATAGCTCCTAGACCTGTTCAGAAATAGCGAATGCCAGTTTTAAAAGATATATTCACCCAAAATAATAGTGCATGGTACAACAGACAGGAGGTGGTTTTGTTTACAGTATTTGGATTGTCAGCTTTGATTTGAGACTTTATTTTGTGCTAAACGACCTTTCCATCCACACACTTAGACTAAATGTATCTTTTACTGTTTTTTATATTCAAAAAGAAAATCAAAGATAAATGAAGGAAAAGAGCCAAGAGTGTACGATAAAATTAAATTATTGGAGACTTTCTACAGCGTTGCACTCTACCCAAGTAAACTTATAAACCAGAATGCATTAACTAAGGGTCTTATCCAACTCTCTTTTTAGTGAGCAGGCATGGGCCTCACTCTGAACTTCACTGGGTACTTGGTACTATACAAACTGAGTCCCCAAATAAACTTGTTTAACTGAAATAATCTGTATCTGATTATACAAACCAACAGTGCTTTCTGAAATCAAAATAAAGTGTAATAACCTGAGGTTCATATTCTTGACTTTTAAAACTATATGTAATTATTAGTATTTAGCACAAAGCATTTAGCCACGCGCATGGCAGAATGTGTGATTTTGGGATTGGGGGTCAGATCCCAATGATGTCCTACTTGCTAATGCAGGGAGAGCCTGGGATTATGATCACAATCCCAGGCTTCTCCCCTGCATGGGAAAGCTGAAATCTAAGTGCCATCAATCAGCTGAGCCCAGCATTGTCCACTCTGCTGCATGTTCAGTTTAAGGTGCGATAGAAATCGGCCACTACAGTATTACATTTTTTATTTTACTGCGTCATTAATTGCCTGGACATGTTAGTGGGTTACACTTTAAAATGAGATTAACCAGTTAATCACATTTT